TACTTGAATTTTTTATTATAAAATGAATTATTAACTTTGTTTCTCATATTTAGATAAAATTTGTAATATAAAAAGATAATTTATTTCACAAAGTTTCATATATGATTGGTCACACCGTGTGGTCGGAATTACTTGGTCAGGAGTTACTTGGTTAGTCAAGGGTTACTCAATTGATCAGAGGATACTCAGACGGTAAGGGGTTACTCGATCAGAACAACGCACTGATTTTATTTTTATCATTAATATAAAAATTTTGATCTAAAATAAATTGCAATTCTTTTTTTTATTGGCTAAAATATAACATTTTCCTATGTGACACTCTAAAATTAATCTCACGTGGCATAATCCTATTGTAGCGTTTTAAAATTATTAATCTTACGTGGCAATTTTTTTTTATTAAAATTATACGTAGCACTTTTAAAAAAACTAATCTTACGTGGCAAAATCCTGTTATAGCGTTTTAAAAATATTAATCCTAAGTGGCGCTCTAATAATTTTGTAAAAACTAATGTCCTATATGGCGCTCTAAAAACTCGGGAAAAACTCCCCTTTGTATATATATACTAATTTGATGCCTGGGCGATGCCCAAATAATACATAAGATTTAGGATAATTGGCGTGAATGTTAAGTATGGTCATATAATCCCTTTTGATAGTTTATATAGTAGTGTATTTGTAGTTTTGTTAGTAAATAGATATCTATATTATTATTGACTTGAAATTATTTTTATTGAACTAAAATTATTTTTACTGATTATAACTTATTTTTACACATTCTCTATTTTTTTAAAATAAATTAAATATATCTATTTTATTATTAACTTAAAATTATTTTTATTGAAATTAAATTACTTTTACTGAACTGAAAGTATTTTTACCAATATTCTCTATTATTTTCTAAAATAAATTATATATTCTAAATGGATCTTATCTTAAAGAACTTTATTAAATGAATTTTACGATGGAAATAGAAATGAGTTATAGGATATTTATTAAAAGTTATGATTAATTTTGTATACATGAAACATTAGAACTATGTCGATAATAAAACTTTATACAACAATTTTATCTTAAAAAATATACCCAAAATACGCTTATTTAGCATCATATGTGTCACAATAATACCTAGTTTTTGCTTATGTGGCGTGACACTTGGCAAATAACTGGAATGTCAAGTGTCATTGTACCGTGACCTGACTGCGAGACCAGCTTTATTTATTAGTGATATGATATTAGATTTAATACCGGAATAAAATAATTTTTTTCTTTTCTCTTAGTTAAAATTTTCAATTTAAAAAGACAATATTTTATTTTTATAATAAATTTAAATTTTTAATTTTAATCTTACGCGGCACTTTAAAATAACAATCCTACGTGGCATAATCCTATAAGTAACGCTCTAAAAATACTAATCCTACATGGCGCTCTAATAATTTTTTAAAAATAATTTTTTTTATTGTATTTATGTGCTAAAATTTGTTACATATTTAGATAAAATTCCTAATATCAAAAGAAAATATTTTATATTTAATTAATTTTAACTTAAAAATCTCATTCGCCAATTTTGCTTACGTAGCATTTGAACTATTTAATTCTAAAAGAAATTAATAATCTCTTATTTAATTGGCTACCACTAAAATTTATAATCCTACATGGCGTGTTAAGACAATTAAATCTTATGTGGCTCTCTAAAAACTCGGTTTAATTGGAAAATTACATGGCGCGCTAAGAAAATTAAGGATAGATGAAGCCAGTGCGATGCACGGTTTGTTTGTTAAACTTTGTGATATTCTCTTGTTTACTACTCAAATTCTTTAATATAAAATGAATTATTAATTTTGTTTTTCATATTTAGATAAAAATTAATAATATAGATAAAAAAAATGAATTTTTATTTATTATTATATTCCTACGCTTTAAAAGAAAAAACTAATCTTATGTGGCATAATCCTATTGTAGCGTTTTAAAAACATTAATCCTATATGGCGCTCTAATAATTTTTTAAAAATTAAAATCCGGCGATTCACGGTTTGTTTGAATTTTTTAAAACATTTTTTTTTTATTTTTGTGCTAAAATTTGTTATATATTTAGATAAAATTTCTAATATCAAAAAATAATATCTTATATTTAATTAATTTAAACTTAAAAATCTCATTCGCCAATTTTGCTTACATGACATTTAAATTATATAATAAAACTTGGGAAAAGACTCTCTCTCTCTCTCTCTCTCTCTATATATATGTGTGTGTGTGTGTGTGTGTGTGTGTGTGTGTGTGTGTATTTTGTGCCCGAGCGATGCCCATGTTGATAAAATCTTAGAATAAACTTTTTTGGCTTGAATGTTATTAAATGCGGTTATATAATCCCTTTTGATTTTGCAAGATATCTAGATGTATGATATCATATCGCTTATTTATATGATAGTGTACTTTTTGTAATTTTGTTTGTAAAATAGGTATCTATGTTATTTTTGACTTAAAATTATTTTTATTGAACTTAAATTACTTTTATCGAACTATAAGTATGTTTGCCAAACTAAAATTATTATTTATTATTAAAACTTATTTTTACTAATTCTCTATTATTTTTTATATTAATTTTATATACTCGTATTATAAATGAATCTTATTTTACAGAACTTTTTAAAACGAATTTTATGATCGAATTAGAACTGAGTTAAACGATATTTATTAAAAGTTATGATTTATTTTGTATATATGAAATATTATAAGTATATTGATAATAAAACACTATACAACATTTTTATCTTAGAAAATTTATCCAAAATTTGTTTACTTAGCATCATATGTGTCACAATAATATCTATTTGTCGCCTACATGGCGCGACACTTGACGAAAAACTGGAATGCTAAGTGTCGTTGTCTCGTGGCCTGGCTGCGAGACCGGCTTTGGTGCCTGGGCGATGCCTATTTGGTAGATAAGATTTAGGATAAAATTTTGGGGTGAATGTTAAATACGGTCATATAATCCCTTTTGATAATTTATATAGTAGTGTACTTTTTGTGGTTTTATTTGTAAATAGATATCTATGTTATTATTTTTTATTGAACTTAAATTATTTTTACTAAACTGCAAGCATTTATAGCAAACTAAAATTATTTGTACTGATTAGGACTTATTTTTACATATTCTCTATTTTTTTTGAATAAATATATTATATTTGTGTTGTTATTAAATCGAAATTATTTTTATTGAACTTAAATTACTTTTACAGAAATGGAAGTATTTTTACTAATATTCACTATTATTTTTTAAAATAAATTAATATATTATAAATGAATCTTATTTTAAAGAACTTTTTAAAACGATTTTTATGATGGAAATAGAACCGAGTATAGGATATTTATAAAAGTTATGATTAATTATATATATATGAAATATTAGAAGTTTATCGACAATAAAACACTATCCGACAATTTTATCTTAAAAAATCTATCCAAAATTTGCTTACTTAGCATCATATGTGTCACAATAATACTTAATTTTCGCCTACGTGGCGCGACACTTGGCGAATAACTGGAATGCCAAGTGTCGTTGTCTCGTGGCCTGGTTGGGAGACCGGCTTTATATTTTTAAGTATATATTAGTGACTAGTTTTGTGCCCGGATGATGCCCAGATTGTCGATAAAAGTTCAATATAAACTTTTTTACTTGAATGTTAAAAAAGGTCTTACAATCCCTTTTGATAATGTAGGATATATAGACAAACGATGTCATATCTCTTATTTAATTAAATAATAATGTACTTTTTGTAGTTTTGTTTGTGAATATCTATGTTATTATTGACTTGAAAATATTTTTATATAACTTAAATTGTTTTTTTTCTTTCTAATTCTCTATTATTTTTTAAAATAAATTAAATATATTATAAATGGATCTTATTTTAAAGAACCATTTAAAACAAATTTTATGATGGAAATAGAACCGAGTTATATGATATTTACTAAAAGTTATGATTAATTTTGCATATGTGAAGTATTAGAAGTATTTTGATAATAAATCTCTATACAACATTTTTATCTTAAGAAAACTATCCAAAATTCACTTACTTAATATCATATGTGTCACAATAACATCTATTTTTCGCCTACGTGGTGTGACACTTGGCGAAAATTTGAAATGCCAATTGTCACTGTTTCGTGGTCTGGCTACGAGATCGGCTTTATATATTGGTGACTAGTTTTGTGCTCGGGCGATGCCTAGGTTGATAAATTTTAAGATGATATTTTTACTTGATTGTTAAATACGGTCAAATAATTCGTTATGATAATGTTGGATATTTAGACATAAGATATCATATGGCTTATATTTATATAATAATGTACTTTTTGTACTTTTATTTGTAAATAGATATTTATGTTATTTTTAACTTGAAATTATATTTATTGAACATAAATTGTTTTCATTGAACTGAAAGTATTTTCACCAAAATAAAACTACTTTTTACTGATTAAAGCTTATTTTTACTGATTCTCTAATGCTTTCTTAAATAAGTTAAATAACAATGCATTTTGTATGCGTCTAGCCACTTTATTTGGCCGGACCAAGTAACACGTATAAAATCGACCGAGTAACCCCTATAATATTAACTGAGTAACCTCTAACACTAACTAAGTAACCCCTATCTATAACAGTCATTAAGTGACCGCTATAACACTGACCAAGTAACTCCTATAGCACTAATGAAGTAACTCCTGTAATAGTTGGTCACACAGTTTGACCAGCTACGTATAAAAGTTTGTGATTAAATATATTATATATACATCTTATTTTAAAGAATTCCTTAAAACGAATTTGATGATGGAAATAAAACGAGTAGTTATATGATATCTATTAAAAGTTATGATTAATTTTGTATATATGAAATATTATAATTCTATTGATAATAAAACTATATACAACAATTTTATCATAAAAAATCTATCCAATAATTGCTTACTTAGTATAATATGTGATATGATAGGGTATATATATTAGATTATTTTATTTGTTTTAAATGATTTAAGGTACACCCATCTTTTGGCATCCACAAAATTGAAGGGAAATGGCAAAGGAAACGATGCAGTTCACTGGTACTCGTACTGTACTTTAGCATTTTACAATTTCTACTGCCCAGGTTTGTATTTTCTCTCTCCATTTCATGATCTTAAGATTTCTAGTTTATTTCAATTTTCTATTTATAATCGTTGTTTATGGTATTTTGATTTGAATTTTATGGGGTTGTAATTGGGTATAAATCAGTCAATCAGTCAATTAATTAGTATAATTATTGTAAACTTTTGAGAATTATTTTTAATTTTGTGGTTTAAGTTGGAAATTAGCCAGTTTGATTATGAGGTTTCTTGAATTATTCTCTTTCAGTTTCCAATTGATGCGAATTTCTATCTTCCATTGAAGCAGCTTCTGAGGTAAGATGTTTTTTTTTGTAATTATTGAATATTAATTTCACAATCTAGGGTTTATCGTTAATTTAATTATCAGTATACTCAATTTAGGGTTCTTCTAAATCTTGATCATTGAAATATTGGTTATAATTACTAAGGTGATGAAAGATCATAACCACCAAATTTGTTGCTACAGAACAAAATTATGTGATTTTTCGAGCTTAATTTGATAATTGAATCAAGTTTGCCTTTAGTTGTTAGGATGGAACTATGAAATTGGACCTTTTCACCAAAGATAATGTGAGTTTTCCAGCCTAATTTGATGATTGAATCAAATTGCAATGATTAATCTTTTGAAAGGCTTTAATTTCTTTATTATAATTTTATTATTATTTTTTGTCAGGTAGTTCTTTCATTTGATTGAGCTGCTTGGCTTAGATGCTGTCTTTTAGATTCCTGTAGAATAGGTAAAACGATAATCTAATTATCTTTTGAAAGTGAAATGGCAGGATATGTCAATAGTAAACTTATAATATGAATTATTATATGACTTATAAAATTATTATAATTAAAATATAGAATTGGTACTTTAGGTTCCCCTAAATGTCTTGCCCTTGTCTCAAATATCTTCAAACTCGCCCTTAGTTTAACTTTGCTTGGAGTAGTTAGCACACTTAGAAGTTTCTGTTGTCTTGTTTGTGTGTTGTGTCATTATAAAAGGAGTAAAAAAGATTGTTTTGTTGCATGTTAGGAACGTAATCAAGAGTATTATTAAGAGTACATGCTAAATCTTTTAATTATTTTGTCAATATGACCTTTAATGTGGCAGGCTTTAAAGCTTTCCCCGTTGATGGCAGAGCTAAAGGAGCCCCTCCTTTCAAGGAAACCTGCCTCAGCTGCAAACCTTAGAGAGATATCATATCATCCCTCTGGGTCTGGGCGCCCACCCTTTCAAGGGATGGATGTTTCGGGCTTGAAGAAGCGAGGACAGAGCAGTCGCTCATGGATCCGAGTTGATACTTCTGGGAATTCAGGGGTAATAGAAGTTGACAAATTCACAATGATGCGTCGCTGCGACCTCCCTGCCCGTGATTTACGACTGCTTGATCCGCTTTTTGTGTATCCATCCACTATCCTTGGTCGAGAGAAGGCCATAGTTGTAAATTTGGAGCAGATCCGTTGTATTATCACAGCTGAAGAGGTTCTTCTTTTGAATTCCCTTGATAGCTACGTATTACAATATGTTGTAGAGCTTCAGAGACGGTTGAGGAATGCTGGTGCTGGTGAGGCTTGGCAGTCGGAAGATGCTATGACCCGAATGAGAGGCAATAGAAACTTTGACACCTCATCACCTGATTATTTACCTTTTGAGTTCAAAGCACTGGAAGTTGCTTTGGAGGCTGCTTGCTCATTTCTTGATTCTCAGGTTTTTACTCACCCTCCTTTAAAAAAAACATGTACAGGTATAATGTAGCCATGCAAATGAAGGTCTCTCTGCCTCTTTCCCTGTCTTATGTATGTGCAATAGTCTAACCAAGGAATCCACAAAGAAACACTCACATGTATGTACAGAACACTTCTTGTAATACATGCACCTTACTTTTATATGCTAAATATAAACCAAAAACTGTTTTCTCTGCTATAGTGATGGAAATTTTTTTAATAAAATTTTTGCCTGGGTGGGGGTGTTGGGTTGAGGTTTGGGTTGATTGGGATCTCTACAAGTTGAAAAAATATAAGAAATATTGCATCATGATGTGCTTTTCTCGATATGTAGTTAAAAATAGTTCAGGTTCGAGAGGTTGCTGAAATTCATAGGCCGGATAAAAGAAATATTATCTGGAAAGCTGTTAAGTGCTGAAAGGGTAAGGTATGGTAAAAGTGGTTAAGAGATTTTTTTTTTTTTTTTTTTTTTTTTTTTTTTTTTTTTATTTCAAATTTTCGCATTTTTGCTGTCACTATAAGTTCTGAACCCAAGTTGTATAAATATCTCAAAAGTTAGTCTAATCTCTCAAAATAGATGGGATGATTGTTTGCCTGAGATTTTGTAGGTGGCGACTTTATGGTGATCAAATAAGAGTGAGATAAGAAGTTTTGGTGTGTTTTGGGCACTTGTGCTTACAGCTTGTATGAAAGGCTTTATTAATTCGTTTGTGATTGGTGATTTGGGGAACTCTCCTTAGAGCATGTTTGGTAAGAGTGTTTTTTGGGGTGGAAATGGATTCAATTAAACCATTACCGTTACCAAATGTTTGGTTTGAAGGTTTAGGTAACCATTACCATTACCTAGGGGTAATGGTTTCCACCTACTTGTTACCTCTCTAAAACTTGAGGTAACAAATACCCTTACCCTCCTTAAAACAAAAAGAAAAGGAGGTAGGTTTAAGTGATTCATTTCCATGATTAAACCAAACAAATGAAAAGGTAAAAGTTATTTATATTCTTTTCTCCCTCTTATTTGTTTCCTTTCCACTTCACTTCCAATATTAATACCAAACGCCCACTTAGTGCATTCTTAGCTTACTTTTGTCAGGGAAAGGGGGGATGCGGCTGCAAACTTGGATTTTGTGCTAAGCGTTTTAAACTTTGATATGATTTACAGGAGGATGAAGTGGTATATAGATCTGGACCCTTAAAATTTTGTAATTATTTGGACGTTGCATCCAAATTTTTGGGACTAAGGTGCTAGATCAATTAGACAATTACCCAATGGGTGGCTGGAGTGGGTTTGATTGATTTGGAACTAGATGTTTATCAAAGAAAATTGATGTGGATCTAATTGAATTATTGAGATGTTTAAGCAATAGGCATAAAGTTGTTTTGGTCATCCTTGAGTTTGGAAGTTAGAAAGTGCCAATGTGAGTTGAGTGAGGAAATCTAATTGAGGTTTAGTTCAGTTAGGTTTGATTGGTTTTTGGTTCAATCCAATATCCTGTTACTCTCTCTCTCTCTCCAAAATTGACTGGAAAACTTTTTCATTCCTGTCACAAAATTATTGGTTCCGTTGATTGAGGAAAATTTTGGTAATTTTTGGCTTCAATTCATTTTCATATTGGTTTTATCTGTTTCTTGTAAATTTCAAGTCAAAACATCTGAACTACATGGATGTTTATATTTTATTTCTTTTATATATATATTCTAATTTTTGTGTGTGTGTGCATGCCCGCTCTAGTGAATATATGTTCCCAAACTTAATATGGTTACAAGGGATTAATTTGTCAATAGGTCACAACCTTGTATATTTTGAAATTTATGTGGACATTGCATCCAAATCTTTGGGGCTAAGGGTGATATTGTGGTAATATTGACTAATGACCAATGGATTGCTGAAGTGAGTTTGGTTTAGGAAGAAGCAGATGTTTGTTAATGAAACTTGAAGGTATGGAGGGAAGAAAAACATTGAGATCCTCAAGCAAGCATCATAAAACTTTTATGGTCATTCATAAGGTTGGTAAGTTAGTGAGTGCCACTGGGCTTTTTAAATAAACAGAGAATTAAAGCGCAGAGTGCTACTGTTTGGAATATGAAGCTGAGTTTTTTTATTTGAATTTAATAAGAGCTTCGTTGGGGAACCTAATTGAGATAAAGGTGTACTCCCTCCGTTCTTTTAAGTATACATTGAGATGAATCAAACAAAACCCCACTTGACTATGTTTTTTCTTATGTATTAGAAAGAATTTAGAAAATTCTCTTAAGCTATGAATTGTGTCTAGATTTCAAATGGGAAGAACTTTTAGGAACGGAGGGAATAGTATGTTAAGAAAGATTTATTTGATGTGCGCTAAAGAGGTGAAACATGATCTAGAGTACTCTAGTCAAAGAGATTGGTTAGGTGCTCTGTTTTATGTTCAACTTAGGTTGGTTATGAGTCAACTTCTAATGGAGTTTATTTTCCTACTGTTTTCACTTTCATTTTTTGGTCAATTGAAAAGCTAAGATTTTCATGTAACTTTTGGTATACATGGAAGTTGAGGTTTTCTTAAGTTGTTTCAAAACTTGTATGGTTTATTGGGGTTAAGGTGGTCAGCAGTTCTAAACCCTTCAAATTTTGAATTTTTTTTGTGAACTTTGCATCCTAAATTTTTGTGATAAGATCACAAGGGTGGTAGAGATTGAATGTTCAATTGAGTGGTAGAATGGGTTTGACTTATATGAGGAACTAGATGTTTGTTAAAAAAAAAAAAAAGGTGTGGTGTGAAGAACAATATTGATAAGTTCGGGTAAGCACCTTAAAATCATTTTTGACTATCCATAAGATTGACAAGTTTGTTAGTGCCACTGTGTAATAATCTAAGAGTATAATACAATTGAGGATGATGGTTTGGGGTCGATTTCGAGCGTAATCCATTTTCCTGTTGTTTCACATTTTTTTTGGAGAGAGGAGGGGGGGATTCAATTTTAAGTCAAAATTTGTTGAGTTGTTTTAGAAATATAGTATGGGTTATGGTTGCTAGCATGGTCAATAGATCTAAACCCTTAATTATTTTAACTTTAGGTGAACTTTGCATTGGGACAAGGGTGGTGGATTGAAATCTCAATTGAGTGCTAAAGTGGGTTTGCTTTATGAGTAGCTTTCGAGCTCATGATGCACAAAATATAACTCTATAATTGGCAAATTTCTGACCTTTTGTAATAATAAAAGAATTAAAGTGCAAAGTGCTACTTTTGTAAGCTCAAGCGGATTTGCTAATTTTTAGGATGCTACGATAAAGTTACCCCTTTTATTAATTCTATATGAAGAGTACCATTATTGTTTGATGAATCATGCTACGATAAAGCATAGCACTTGGTTTGAGAGGCCTTGTTAGACTGATTTTAATGGACGTGGGTCGAAGTAGGAATTTTACTTTCATCGCAAAAGTGGGAAGGATAATTTTTCTAAGGCGAGGAACTTAGCATACTAGGTTGGTAACTAATGTTTATAAGACTATGGTTAAAGTGTTTTGTGAAAGGTGGGGTGCTGATTATTAACATCAATGCTTTTGTGGTAAAGTACATTTGTGGAAGGGGGCAAAATGTTTATGTGTATCTTATAGCTAATGGGATAGTTTTTATTACCTTTGTATCAAAAGTTTCTAACATTTAATGTTTGCCCAAAAACTAAGGCAATTGGAGTGACAGTGTTGATGGATAAAGCGAGAGTGAGGTTAAAGTTGGGTAAAAATAAAAATTGATGGATCATAAGAAAGAGTGAGTGGAAAGGTATATATTCATTGTGAGGGTTAGGGTAGTAAAAGGGGTTTGCTTAAAATGGAATAAAGTGAAAGTGTTAAATTTTCTAAAACAGATGAAAACGGGAAGTGTCAAACACTTTCAGAAACGGAGTAGTATTATTGAAACTTAGACATGAATTGTTTTGACATTGTGTTGAGGTTACTTAGGGGCCATTTGGTTGAAACTTTTGGAATGGGTTGGAAATTAGAATAGAGTTAAAATCCATTCTATCTAATTTATTGTTTAGTTAGACTTTTAGTTATTGAACCTCATAACAAGAGGTTTCTAGATCTACCCCATCCCTTTAGAATCCCATACCCAACTCACCTCCTAAGATTCACAACTTCACTAATATAGGATTTTGAATCCAGGCCTCCCTAGTATTAGATTCTATACCAATCCATTCCAAATGATAACACTAAGACATTTATCACAAGATTGTGTTTGTGACTGAATGTCTTACATGTTCTTGGAACTTTACTAAATTATTTAAAAAAATAAAAAATTAACGGAGAGACACGCAGCGTTATGCAATAAGGTCCAAAAATAGTCTTATCTATACAAGCTATATAAATTAACGGAGAGGCATTATCATAAGTTCATAACATTCAGACAACAGATTTAGAACTTAAATGTGATAAATTTGATGATCGAGACCTTGGAGTAGAGCCCTATGCATAGCACTTGGTTAAAACTTGAAAGGGCTTTTAAGATAGGTTGGATTAGTAGAGTGACAATCCCCATGAAATTTGGTCAGGATGTGATTTTGTATTCCTTAATAAAATTTTATCTGTTGGTTGATGTTTGAAAAGGTGGGAACATCATCACTTAAGTATAAAGGAGTTTTTTCTAAGATGAGGGATCTTGGAAATTTTTGTTTGATCATTTATGTTCATAAGATCTTGATTGAAGTGCTTTAGGTTGGTTGTTTTATTTTGAAGTATGATGCTTTCATGGTAGATTACAGTGGTGTAAGGGAAGCAAATGTAGGATGTGTATCCTATTGCTGAGTGATAATTGATTCATAGCAAGGATGGATACTTTGATATCTGAATTTTACATAGATTTTGAGTAATCTATCACATAAATTTCGTAAAGTTTCATATATACAATTGTAGAGAGAAAAGTTTTGTAAGCTTTCGTGGAAAATATGGGTATAGGGTTGACTTTGGTTCTTGTTTACAGTGCTTATAACGAAATCTTAAGTGTCTTTGTGCATGTCTTTGTTTGAGGATAGGAGACCATTTATTCCTACTTTTTGTTTCGAAAGTTTTACTCTTCTCAATTATTTACTGTAGTATAGATAGCAATTACAAGAGAGATTATAGCTTGTACAAAGACTAATATCCCTTAATTTAGCCAACAAATAATCTAGAAAATATAAATACCTTCAAAAATCCAGGAAAGTTGCTCAGTTGCAGTACATGGAAGGTATCATGTTGGTGAAAGATGTCATCCGCTGTGGAGCACTGGCTTAGAGGAATCTCTAAAGTTTTTCAGAATATTGTGAAGCTTGCTATAGCTTTGTTTTTGTTCTTTTCTTTGCTGTATCAAAAATTCAAATCAATGGAGTCCCTTTAAACTAAATTATTATCGCAGCACATCATTAATAAAGCCAAATAATTGTGTACAAAACAAATTGAAATTCAGAAATTGGATGGTCTTACAAGAAATGAGTTTTTAGAGGGGAAGTTGGTCTTTGTATTGGTTGTGAATATTAAACGAGGGTAGCTCAGTCATTTCATTTGTTAATTAAGGGGTTAGCTTCAAGCTGTTTTATTAACCAAATTAATGTTGGAAAGCATCATTAATGCCACAGAATTTAGTTGGACAGTAATATATGGTTTGCAACTCTTTCCTGCTTTTCTACACAAACTCCACTTACAAAACTCTTTTTTAGTTTTTCCTCTTTATTTTTACACAAACTCCACAATCTTCTACCTTTTTCTTACGCATAGCCTCTTGCTATATCCTACCCTTGATCTTTGTGGAAATAGTAATTGTAATTACTTCAAAGGTTTGGAGGTAGTACATTTCTTTGGAGAAAGTGCTTCGTAATTGGCTTTTTTTTGTACTTCGTGCACATACACATGTGGCAATGTCAGTATTTTCAGATGAATCATGAATGAAAGGGTTCCGATGGCCATTTTTTTAACCCATCATATTCTTACTGCCGAAGAACTCTATTCTACATGTATTATTATATTAGTGTGTAAAACAACTTTAGTAAAATGTTGCTTCCAAGCCCTTTTTTTTTCTTGTAAAATTTGGGTGGTAGATCATTGCACTATTAAACATCCCAAGATGCTCTTTTGGAGACACCATTTTATCGTATTGTGGTGCTATGGCTGCTATGGTGTAGTACATTGGAAGATTGAAAAGGCGGTTCTGGAAAATTGTTTAGGTAAAATCACTACAAGGCTTCTGGTGACGTGGACTGTTGTATGTTCTTAAATTTAATTGTCACCGATGTTAGATAAAAGGTTTGCTCAGGGACGGTTATGCTCGAATTACGGTAATAGTTTAGGTAATAGTAGAGTGAATATGTCATTTGTGCGTTGAAGTTATGAACTGAGATCGTCATGCTTTAATGAGTCACAAAAGTTTGTTGTTTGTAAAGTTGTATTGTCCAGGCTTCTGGAATAGAAATTGAAGCATATCCATTGCTTGACGAATTAACACCGAAGATCAATACTTTAAATTTAGAGCGTGTGTGCTGACTGAAAAGGCAGACTTGTTGGATTGTGTTGTTCTAAGTTGTTTATCTGTTGATGATTTTACCTAAAGTATCTGTTTTGGCCAGGCTTCTGAATTAGAAATTGAAGCATATCCATTGCTTGATGAATTAACATCAAAGATCAGTACTTTAAATTTGGAACGTGTGCGCCGACTGAAAAGCAGACTTGTTGCCTTGACTCGAAGAGTGCAGAAGGTACTGTACAGTATTATACTATTATGGTTAAAATTCTATAGTAAAGTTTATTGTTAATTTCTGGGGAGGGCATTTGTGGAACACTGGATCTTAATAGCTTTTGATGATTGGTTTCTGTAAACTCTTAAACCCGGAAAAGATATAAACCTGGGTTAGTTTTTTGGCAAAATGAACATTAGCTGTGAATCTGATGTAAACCTTGGATCTCTTTCATATTTTCATCTTTCTTATAGGTTAGGGATGAGATAGAGCAACTAATGGATGATGATGGGGATATGGCAGAAATGTATCTTACAGAGAAGAAGTCACGGATGGAAATGTCATTGTATGGTGATCAATCAATCTTAGGTTTGAGATCAAATGATGGTGCAGTGTCCATCTCGGCTCCTGTTTCTCCTGTCTCCTCTGCCTTGGATTCACGAAAATTAGAGAAAAGCTTCAGTATCTCAAGAAGCCGGCACGGAAGCTTGAAAAGTACAGATAGTGCTACAGAGAGTATAGAAGAGCTGGAAATGCTCTTGGAAGCTTACTTTGTGGTCATTGACAGCACCCTTAACAAACTTACATCAGTACGTTGATATCACATCTAGTTTTTTTGTTATCACACTGGAACTTTTATTTACATGTTTCATTCCTTCATTCATTGCAGCTGAAGGAGTACATTGAGGACACTGAAGATTTCATTAATATTCAGCTGGTAGGTTTGGTTATTTCATTTGAATAGAAGAATGAGAATATGAGATTGAGATATACTTCGTACTGGAAGAGGGAAGGGAAAAATAATAGGCATTAGGCATTTGACTGACATTAGGTACTTGTTCTAATTTTGACTGGGCCAAATTTGGGCAATATTCTCATCTGTTTGATTGGTGTTTTAAATTTAGCAGAAGGATACATATACCAAAGAAACCAGGCTAGTTTCTAAAGTGGATTTTTAGAGTCTAAAAGACAAATTTACTGCATTGGTTTACGTAGAAGTGTTTCTAATTTCATTTAAACTATTTTCCTGCAGGACAATGTCCGAAACCAACTGATTCAGTTTGAATTGCTGCTAACTACTGCAACATTTGTTGTTGCCATATTCGGAGTGGTAGCGGGAATTTTTGGAATGAATTTTGAAATTGAATTATTTAATTACCCTGATGCGTTTAAATGGACTCTCCTCATCACGGGAACAACTGGGCTCGTTATATTTGGTTCATTTTTATGGTTTTTCAGATACAAAAGGCTAATGCCGCTGTAAATGCCTCTCATATAAGTGACGGAGACAGTCATAATCCTAAGCAATTCTTTTGCAAAATAGGTTACATCAGCCGTATATTTGTTGGGCCAAATACAATTATGTTTCTGATGTAGATATAATTTTGTTCATTTTTGACATATTCATCAATTTCTGATTGAACTTTCTTGTTAGATAATCAAGTTCATGTATTGTTGAGGTGGGTATTGCTCGTCTTTTCTTCACACCGTTGGTGATTTCAAGTGGAGACAACGCGAATGGGAATAGATAAAGTATATACCATATAATACCATATAATCTTGCTTCCATTAGGAATTTATTTCTATTATGCATATAATGTGGGAGTTTAAACTGGGGAGATATTTTTCTTACTCCTACAAATTTTATTTATTTTTAATACAAATTTTGCTGTCAGAATCAATGTAAATTGTAAACAAACAACGGTTCAATTAGCAATAGGACAACCAAAAATGCAAGGTGTGGTTCTCCTACAGCCTAACACCATTACTCGTCGTAGAAGAAGATTCATTGAAGGCAAGATTTATGACAATGAAACAGGGCAGATTTGTACATTTATTAATGGAGTAATGACATAATGACCAAGGGAATTAATACTTGTGGAGAAGAAGAAGCTTAATACAGAGTAAGCAAGAATATAAACTTCAGAAAACTTCAAGATAATGTTACAGAGACATCAACAAGCTGAGACTCCCACTAAACGAACTAAAAACATAGGCTATTACCTGTGCTTTGTAGCTACTCACTCATTTTTTCAGTAGATTACTTCTATACAAAAAAATAAAATAAAAATAAAATAAATCCTTGATAAAAAAAATTCCTTGATCAAATTTACTTCCAACGCATATTCTAGTGCTGGTAGCGTGTAACCTGCATCACAATTTCATAAAGCACTGAACAAGAGTTATCGATAATTTTCCTTGATCAAATTCACTCTCAATGCATACTCTAATTTCTGGCACTTGCACAATCAATAGGCCAGCTAAGTCAGCTCGCAGCAAACCCATGAAGACCCCAGCATTCACCACAGCACAAGCAAAATATTTTGTACAACGCAATTATTGTATGAATTCAGTATCAACCTGTATTCGAACTGATTCAGCAGCAAAATACTTTTCATCTCTTCGAACTGATTCAGCTACCAGAAGTAACGGTGATGTCCTTAAAAATTCTTGGCAGAGCTGAAGAGGAGGGCTCAAGCCTATGTTAAAATTTTGGGCATGAAAGTTATTGAGAATAGCATCTACTTTACAATTGACATTGGTAAATGAACCTCAGTTCTCAAGCAAATTAATTCAAAGTGCTTTTCATTCAAGATCAACCAGAATTTTCTTATATCAGGTTTCAAAGAGATTTCTCATGGTGTCTATACTTGGTAGATGCCCAATCCAGCACTTATCCAAATAACAAGCTCATTAGCTTTACTGTTGACATGAAATTCATTTTCGCTTATTGGGAAAACCTACCCTTTAATTTTTATGCAAGTTTACCAAACTGGGAAACGCATCCCCCACAAAATCATGATTAATTTTTAAACCAAGAAGAAGTGCTTCCCATGACATGGAACCTGGTAAAACACCGTGGTCAGAAACTATGTCAAGAGTATGTAACGCCTCTGGTATAAGCCCCTCGTGGCACAAACTACATATAATCCTCTCATAAGTGGAGAGCATTGGCAGGAAACTCTTGGAAAGCATCTCCTCCAGCATATTGCAAGCTTCCATAACTTCACCCGCAGTAACCAATGCATCAATCATCAACTTATATGATCGATCATTCAATTCTATACCTTTCTTATTCATCTCACTCCACACCTCCCTCACTCTACTCAAATTCTCAACCTTGCAAAAAGCTTCCAATACTGTATTATATGTATTCACATCGGGTAGGCAATCCAGTTCAACCATGCAGCCAATCATCTTATACGCATCCTCGGCTTTCTTTTGTTTACCTAAGCCTTTTAGGTACACATTATAAGTAAGCACATTTGGAGCTAGACCGAAAATGAGGATTTCGTCAAACAACTCTTCTACTCTAGAAAACTCTTCTGCTTCAACAAGACCATTGAGAGCCATTGTATAAGACATGATATCAGGCTTAATTCCCTCCCTTTTCATCTCACATAAAACATCAAATACCTCTTTACCCTTTGCTTGTCTCCCTAAGAACTTAATCACATTGCAATAATCCTCTCTACCGGGGCAAAACCCGACTCTTTTCATGTCTTCCCACACACCCATTACCTCCACACTAGTCACATTTACCTTCTTTTGTCTACACAATGATCCCAAAATCAAGGAATACAATTTCCCATCAGGATCAAACTCATCATAAATCATGTAATTTAGCAACTTAATAGCAAAATCAACCTTCCCAATCCTACAAAGGGCATTAATCAATATCGAAAAACTCGAACCCTCCATTCGAATATTCATGACCCTACTCTTTAACAACAATTGCGGAACAATTCTCAAACATTCTCTATTTCTACAAAGAACAAAAAGCAGAGAATTGAGTGAGAGTACAGTAGGAACACACCTGAATTTAGGTATCCTGAAGAACAAATCAATTGCCTCCTTAATCATACCCTTTTCTCCATAAACCCTAATCAAATCAACAAAAACCCTTTCTGGGGTTTCAGATTTCTCAACATTTTGGAGATATAAAAGAATATGATTAAGCTCATTGAATTGGGATTTTTGAATTAGGGTTTTGATAACCAAATTATAAGCAATGGGTGTTGGATCACATTGGTAAGAATCGAAAGAATTTATGAGACAATTGAGAAGATTAGAAGGGGTTTTAGGAGGGGTTTGGGTGATTTGATGAAAATTTGAATCTGGGGTTGAAGAAAGACATGATTTTTTTAGGGTTTGAAGAGCTTGTTGTTGATTGAAAATGTAATGCCATCTTGTTTTGTAAGGTGAACGAATCCATTTTCTTCTTCTTCTCAGAAATAAATTTGGGATTTTTTGGGAAGAAGATTTTAGCACCATACGAGCAACAGCAAGAGCAAGAAATGAGCAACGTTCACAATTCTGACATATTGATAGTATACTACTCCGTATTTCTTTGCTACAAAAAAAACTTTGGTTAGTAATTCTAACCTAGGAGATCAAATGCAGATAAAAAACTTTACTGTATATTGTTTATTATTTCTTTAATTCAACCTATGAAATTATTCCAAGCTAGAAATTTCCAAATATGCGATGTAAAAATTCTAAATTTCAGTCGATAACATTGCTTGTTAGATAGTTTAGTTAAGAAATATTTTGATTGGTAGCGAAAATAAGTGTTAAAGTGTGCCATGAATCAGTTTTCGATTTGAGATTTAATAAATAAATAAAAAATTCTATAGATTTTAGCCTAATTATGAAATCAGTATTTTTCAGTATTCCATGTAAAATTTGTGTTCTTGCTTAATTTTTCACATTCGTTACAAGCTTATAATAATGTGGAATCTAGAATCATGATCATCATTTCTCTTCTTTGGTTACATAAGGTATACATTAGCAACATCAAGCCATCAATAACAAATATCATTACGACGAAGTAGGGACAAAATGGACTATTCAATGGCTACAAAGAAATTGTAGCAATTGTAATTATTTTCAATCGACCATTCATTTCTAAATGACCAATCTTGTCCGTTCATTCCATAGACTTAAAAAAAAAAAAAAAAAAAAAAAAAAAAAAAAAACTATCGCCATCCACCACACCATTGTTACTGCAAGCTACGTTACTTACCACGCCATTGCCCATTGTTATTGTAGTTTAATTTTAACCTTCAAATTGAAGAAACATGCTAATATGTAGTCTTAAATCGAACTCTTGATTGTTAGTATTATTAACCGTCAACATATGAGTTTCTTACTTTTTCGATTCTTCCATCAAAATTCATAACAAATACCATCATCTTTCCCATAAAAACTAAACCATGAAAATAATAAAAATGGAAGGAGATGGAAAAAGGTCTCATATCAGCATCTTTTTTTCACCTACACGGCTACACTAGTCTCATATAATTTATATAGTACATAATTATTATTCTCCTTAATTCTTGCTGGTCAAATTAAATTACCATTGTCTATGTAATTTTTTTCATTTGATTGATGATCGAATATGAATTTCATGTTAAGGGTGGTTGATTGGTTGTTTATAATTTGCAGAGAATTAGCAATGGAAGCTTCCATCGTTACGGAGTAGTTTATTTTTTGAGAAAAAACAGTTAAAACTTAAAATATTTTTTTTTTTTATGTAGTTTTTTTGGTCAACTTAATCAACGGTACTGAATTATAGAATTACAATCAAGGGTCTAGATTTCATTATTGTAAAGGGGCTGCAGTATTTTACCTAAATGCAAAATAAGATAAAATTTTAATAATTTTATGTTCCTATTTTACCCTTATTCTAATTTACTCCTAACTATATAGTCATCCTTATACCTCCTACCAACAAATTATAACGTATCTTAACTTTTTATCCTGTTTGATTTTTCGTACGGATTCATGGACAATGATGAATTGCACCACGATGATTTTTTTAAGGTATGTATATTTTATGCTATAGAATTATTATTTGTTTTTTCGCAAAAATCATTAATATATGAACAGTCGAACAATTAAAATTTACTCGAGAATTTTACGGAAATTAATATTGTTCGAATTTTCGAGCATGAATGCAAAAGACCGTCTTATATCATCGGGGATAAATGTACCGGCGTTGCTTTCCCGGGGTAAGAGTTGGTACCGGGTAGAATTTCCGAGGCCTGTTAGTGGGTACTGGCTGGAATTTCCAAGGCCTGTCAGTGGGTACCGGCGCTGCTTTCCGGGGGGTAACAGTTGGTACCGGGTAAATTTTCCGGGGCCATACGATGGGTACCGGCTAACATTTTCGGGGCCTGATAATGGGTACCGGCTATAATTTCCGAGGCTTAATATATATGATTTTGGTATTGGATTGGATTAAATAGTTATCCTTTGACATTGTTATAATTGATAAGAATGTTATTTTATGAAACGATATTAGTTGTTAGTTTTATTTATTGTTGAGATGATTTATTTTTTGTCAAAACTTTGGTCAGGATTACTATTTTATACCAGATGAAAATTTTCAAAACTATCCTCATGTTGGCTATCTTTTCATGACGGACACGTTATTTAATGATCGACAAAAAATGTTAGAATGGGTGATACAAATCGGCAAAGATAATGATATGTATTTTGCTATACAGTCTTCTCGAAGAGGGAATGTATTGGGGCATGGTCGAGTTTATATTGAATGTGAAAGAAGTGGACCTTATAGGTATAATTTTCCTTCACCCGATAAAAAATTCAAAGCTAGACACAACACTAGTACAAAAAGGCATTGTTGTTGTTTCGGGGTTTTCTGATGTCCTGCGAGAGAGTTACAATTCCGAGACCGGAACCGGACGCCTGTACATGCAAAACAAACGGATGCTCCGGGTGATTGGAGATCCGCCTCCGACGGTCAAGTTAGTACTTGATTAAGGAGTAATTAATGCGGAAATAAAGGTGATTGGGTCTCTCTAGGTGAGAGTGTTTAATGTGCGTCATCTCCCTTAATGAGGATTAAGGGAGGTATTTATAACCTTGGGAAACGTGTCAATCCTAGGTTTAGGTTAACCTAGGGCTGATTGGGCTTCCCTTGGAAGTTGGGCCCAGGTGGCCGGTTTCTCCATTAGGCATGGAGGATGCCACGTGTCATGACATAATAGGTCCAGGGTGGACGAATAGGCGTGTGCCATGTGGCAAATCCTGACAGTTCCAACTGGGGGACACTTGGCAGGACCTGATTGGCCCACGTAGCGCATTCCGATTGGTGGGAGCAAAATCTCCTAATCATTTGCCCCTCACAGGTGGCACGTGACTGGTCACATGTTACCTGTGACAGGTGTCGCACTGTGACAGGCGACGACCTGCTACAGGTGTCACTCGGCGAAAGGTCGAGAGATTCTCCCGCCCAAATTTTGAATTTTGGAAGTGACCCTTCGATTTCTCACTTCGCCTATATAAGGGGGTGTTGACTTCAGTCATTTTCCCATTTGAGAACTTTTAGAGAGAACATTCGGACCCTGAACTTGCTCTGACATTTCGGACCCTTTCTGCCTACCGCCTGCTCTGACAAGCCGACTACACAAGATTTCCAAAACTCCGTCAACTTCACTCGTTCAGGTAACCGTCGGTTCTCTTACTCTTAATTTTTTCTTTATTTTATTCTTTTTTGAAATGGCACCACGGAAGCACACGACACGACCTAGGTTAGTGATCAGCCGGTCACCGGGGACAGCTGAATCTAGGACTAGGAGTGCCGCCTGCCCTTTTCCGGACCCATCTTTGCCCTTTATACAAAGTCCGACTGTCTCTGTGTCTATGCAGAATATGATGGCCAGAACAAAAAGAACTGCTAGGATTTCGAACTCAGACGACTCCTCCCACAGGGTGCCGATTAGTGAAACATCTGACCAAGCGCCAGATGTGGAAGTGAACCAAAGGGGCTTGAAAGCCGACAGTTCTGAGGGAGGAGTCAAAGTGACCCCTTCCAATTTTACAGTTGACAAGTCTACATTCTCTCCTGCTCCTTTTGAAGGAGAGGAGGCGGGCCCCTCGGGGAGAGGGGAGGAGTCGTCCTCTTCGGACTCGTCAGAGGACGAATCCGAGTCTAACTCTTCTGGTCATGCTTCTCTGGACACAGAAGAGAAAAACAGCCGCCTACAAGAGGCGAGACTTTCTCACGCAGTTGAGAGAAGGGGGACAATTGGGCGGAGCCATCCGCCTCTTACCGAGAGCAAAATACCCCCTACTACTGCACTGTCCCACGGGGCTGGATCACGGCCATGCAGGAGAAAGTGGGGAGCTTTATTGCGAACCACACAATGGGCCCCGGCTTTTTAGTTTTCGTGCCGGATCCAGAAGACACAATCGTCTGGCCGGCTGGTACTAGTTATGATGGCGCCTGCTTTGGCTGCTACGAGGCGGCCATCAGGGCTGGGCTGCGCTTCCCACTACATCCGGTTGTTCAGCGGATCTTGGATGGGTATGAGTTGGGGTTATGGCAGTTAGCCCCAAACTCCTGGGTCAACGTACTCGGCTATGTGGCCGGGTGCGAACTGCACGGGGTGGAGCCAAACTTCGAGGCTTTCGCCCACATGAACTACCTCAGCCGGACCCCTAAGGCAGGCGGTACAGGCTGGTATCAATTGACGAGCCACAGAGGTTACCTCATGACAAGAGGTAAAGCAAACAAGTGGAAGGATTGGCGAAACACCTTCCTTATCATTGAAAGTTCAGACACAGAGCTTAACAAGCGCTTCAACAAGTGGAACAGGAATCCGCCTCTTCTTGAAGGCGGCCGCAGCATGCCGCCTGTTCTCCCCAAAGCTAAGAAAGAGATCCTGGATAAAGGACTCTTTAAAGTAGAGTCGAGGGTCGACTCTACTACAGGGGTACGAGAGCAAGTACCCCTGCACTGCATCCCGAGCTTCAAATGGCTCTATGACGAGTACTTTCTGGCCGCCTGTGGCCTTAGACGTCGGTGTTCAAGAGGTAGCCGACATGTCGAATACTCTGTTTTTACATGCATTATTGTTATGACTTTTTATTAACTTTGCTATTTGTTTTTGCAGCGGACGCCATGAGCAAAATTACCGCCTCCAAGACTGCGGCGGCCATGTTGCGGGCCTCCATCATGCAACAGTCCTCAACCGACTCCCCCAACAAGAGGGCGCCCTTGGTGAGCTTCGAACCTTTCACTCTCTTTTTGGAGTTGGGTTTATGCATATACTGACCGAGTGTTTTTTTTTCTTTTTTTTTTAGTCGGGCACTCCAAGAGCCTCTTCTTCCCAACAGCCGGACTCCAAGACCCGGAGGACGACTGTTGCGAGCTCTCCTGGTTCTGCCAGGAAACATGCGGCGGCTGAGAAACAGCCGTCCATTCCTTCTAAAACTCCAATCGGGCCGCCTAGAAGTATGAAGCTGTCTTTGTGAATTTAGACTTGCTCCCTTCTTTAGGTCTAACTCGTTTGTTTATAATTGATGCAGCCGGCCCTCAGGAGCCGAACTTGGTCGAGGTTGCCAAGTCTATGATCAAAGCCGTTCCTCCAGCTGAAAGGGAGGCGGTCAGGAGTGTCGGCACCCTTGACCTAGACGGGATTGCAGGGGTCCTTGCTGAGGTATACTTAGCATATTTTTGGTTATTTGAATTCCAGGACGCCTGTTCTTTTTGTTTGGAAACTGACGCCTGTTCCCTTTTACTTAGGCCCTGCTCCGAGTGAACGGCCTTCGCAAGCCGCTTGACAGGAAGAACAAAGAGGTAAAGGCTGCAAAAGCTATGGCCGCCTCTGACTGTGATAAGGCAATGTTTCAAATTGCCCAAAATGAGATTTTGACAATTGATATTCTTTATTATCAGGCGCAGGCTACTTCTGCTATTCGGGCTCAGTTAGAGGCGGCCCAGAAGAAAAATAGTGAGCTGGAGGCGACCATCAACAATCTCAAGGCCGAGCTGAGACCTCTTCGCCAAAAAATGTCCTCATACAACACCTTGGAGAAATCCTTGGCGCACGTTGAGGAACGCCTGGTGACCCAGGAGAAGAGTCTTACTCAGGAGCTCTCGGCAAAGGCCGAGCAAGAAAAGAAGGAGCTGGTCCGAGAGATGATGGAAGACTCTGCTCAGATCCAGCGCCTGACCTGGGGCCGCCTCTTCCCCAATGCCGACTTTTCCTCCTGGGAAAAAA